ATCTAAGCCTTTGACTTAGCAGTAAGACGTATTTCTTCTTGGTAGATCTACTTGGAGGAGACGCATGAGCATCATGTTTATGGCCCACAAGTCAAAATTTCTTAGACCATTTTAAGACAATTACGCATAACACATCCTCTTCAAATACCTTACAACACCTTCCCCACAAAGCTTCTCCACTTCAAACAGTTCCTTGATGTGGGCAGTCATTAAACTTCGTCAGATGATATGAGGGGTTGGGATAGAAGGAAGGGTAACCTAGCAGAGAGTACAATAACAGAGGCATATGATAATATTTGGTCGTCCAATTTAAAGAAAGGACTGCCGTAGTTCTTTAAAGTTACTAAATTTACAGGCTCAATTATTTGCATTAACTTAAGTAGAAGCAAGTGCAGAAGGGCTGGGAGACTGGTAGTCTAGAGAAGTTGCACAGAACAGTGTGGAGGTCAAATCACAGGTGCATAACACAGGCCTACACAAAGCTGCAAGACATTTGTACTTTTCCTCCCTTAAAGCGATTATTATCTTGGAGGCTTGTAAAGCACTCCTAGAATGGCTTTAAGAAGACGCGGTGAAAACATTGGCCTTACAAAAGTTGAGCTACACCAAATCCACTGGCTCCTCCTTACAACGTCTGACCCTCTATGTCTGTGTCCATGGCCCCGTAATTGATCGACTCGTCTGAACCGAAGTCATTAACTTTATCAAAAGACGTTGTGAACACCTTAACTACCTGGCAGTTTAGGCGCAGCTACAGTTATGTTTCGTTCGAGCATAAAAATACAGACGAATACAACATGGCTAAAGAAACATTTTAACTTCTTCTTAGTGCTTTCGCAATTCTGTCCACAAAATAATTGGCACTCTCGTTAGTCGCATCAGAAGAGAACTTCGTCTGAATTCACCATTTTCTTGTCCCACTTAGCATCCGCTTTCTGTGGGGCGGTAAGTTATAAAATGAAACCAAAGATTCTACAAGGCATGCAGTCTAGTGCTCTCATTACTTACCTCTTTAAGCGCAATACATAAGAATAAATCAGTCTTTGCTATACAGGGAGAGTTGATTTAGTCTATTTAACCCCTTCACCTTATTGGCTAGGTTTAAAAGCGCTAAATCATAAAAATTCATTATCAAAAATGGAGCATTTTTTCATCTCTATGTCCAGTTGACAGCTTAGCAATTGGCAAAAGGTCATCTTTATATGTAGTCTAATTTTTAACTCAGGCATTATTTAAGAGTCGAAAAATCGTGGTATATCAAGAATTCGAGGTGCTTATCTCTCCCCCTCACCACTGGCGGGCCTAATACATGCAGCAGATGGATCTGTAATGCTCGGGTGTCATGCAGCTCAGAGCCATCAAGAAGTACTGGGTAGTTGAAGATATCGGCTCTGAATTATAGGCGCTGATTTGCTAACGACATGGCGAATATAATGGTAATTGAACAGGAGAAGTTGCTGCATTACATGGAGGTGGCCATTTCATTCACTGATGTCGATGAGGTTGTCAAAGCGAAGGCACATCTATATAAATCGTGTCCATGATATCACTCGCAAAAGTCAGAATTACAAATTCATGCGTAAATGATTGGCTTTCCCTGTGCCAGTAAAAATAAAACACAGTTCTAAAAAAGCCCCAAAATGAAGAGGAAAATAGAATTTGGTCTAAACGTAGTGACGTAGAATAAAAGTGAATATTACATGGCAGAAAAGAGGCGAAAAGATGGTAGAGGAGGTAAATGAAATGGAGTGAATGTATGGGTGTGGGGTCTGTAAAAGTGGGCCAGCATCCCCGAGTGTTCCGCATCCGTCATCAATGTCTGTACTAACATGGCCCGACGTAGCACAACCTGGACGGCGTGACGGAAGCCATAGACCTCTACGTGGTGTAGTTGCTGGCGTTATCTCGCCCTCCACGTTTCCAATTTCATCTCCAACTCTAGCAGACCAACAGGGCATTGCATCACTTCCCTCCTTTTCTTAACTCGCTATTGTTGTCGCTGCTATATTCCAAACACATCTGCATTAAATAACGCATTTGTTTGTTCATATATTCATTCACAACCTTCCTTTTTTGTGCAGAAATAGGAAATGCTTCTTTCCATTGTTTACAGGGTTAGCACAAATACAGCGAATATTTATTATCGCGCAATCGAGGTGAGAATTGTGCAAGTTCGGGGCAAATATTTTAGCCTATGCTTTTACCCACAGAACCTTGGAAACTTTGGGAGAGTGATAACTAAAGCCACAATCCTGATGTATAATTCGGTGCCTTCAGTAAGCCGTGAACAACATCTTAACTATGCAATCTCATAACAATGTGATTTTGCTCATCTTCCACTTTGGCGTGGATGATCATTGAGGTTCTTCTTTGCCACTCACACCTCAGTCCTCATCGTTTTCCTATGCTTTCTTTTTCGGAACAAACGAGCACTGAGAGCATCCGGTGAGTGGATTTCTATTTCTACGGTCATCATATTTTTCATTTGTAACAG